AGAGAGAGTGGGAAAGAATGTCCCAAGCAGAGTCTGTGCTGAGTGTGGAGCTGACATGGGGCTCAATCTCATGACCTCCATTGGAGCCAAAAACCAAGAGTCATGCACTTGACCAACTATGCCACCTCAGTTCTTGCAATTTTTAAACACAGTTTTATTGAATTTGTCCCCAGTAACGTTATAACTTTATTTGCTACTGTAAATGGGATTGCTTTCCCATTGTTGGTTATTGTTGGTCTATAAGAAAGCTGTTGGGGTTCTATACATTGAGCTTTATCTCTCCTCCAAGCTAAACTTGCTTACTAGTTCTAATAGTATCTCAGTCGACTCATCTAGATCTAAGCCCACCTTCTTGTCTCAGCTCAGAATAAATTCTAAATGACAAGTTGTTAAAATGATTTATTTAATGACAGATGATTTTGTAGATTCCCGGGTCAACCACTTGAGCCTATGTTCCACATTCTGGGGGTATGCAACATAGGAAACTAAACTCTGGGGTGTAACAGCAAACTAAGAAAGCTCAGAAACTATACTATGTGACATGACGGGTCACCAGACATAAAGGGCTTATTGGAACAATTCTGGCAGAAAAAGAGAGAGGTTTTACAACTTGCATAAGTGTAGAAAAGGTGGTATTTTTCATTGGGAACAGACCATTTCTAGGCTTGTATGTAATAGCAGTAATAAAAGCTTTGCACCTACTCAAAAAAAAAAAAAAACTGTACATGTTTTATGTGGTCACTGATAACACCAGGTTTTCTTCTCCTAACAGTGGAAACAATAAAATCTCCTCTAGCTGACTTTAATTACCTGGGTTTCAGGTTTTAATATATAAAGTTAATCCCTCTGAACAGATTTTCTCTCGAAATCTGGAGCAAGAAATAACTTGTTACATAGAGCTTCATTAAGAAAGCAGCTGGAAGATGCTAAGCATGATGGCACTAGGATCAAGGCACCAGCACACATTTGTGAGTGGTGAGATCCTGAGGCTGGAGGAAGATTCTAGAATGAAGTGCTCATTAGAAAGCTCTGTCTCCTTACCTCTCTGTACCTCCCTCTCCCTACCCATGGCATCGAAAGTGTTTTTAGGATGCTGATTCTTATGAGAATCACCCACTCTGTGCAATTCTCTTTGTGGAAAAGCAAACACAGCACAAAAATCGTGGTTTTCTAGCTCATGCTTCTGAATGGTAAATAATTCAAAGTAAGCTGGTAGGAGTAGGCAAGGGAGATTTAATCTCCTATATGTTAAAGGGCTTTTGTATAAGTGAGTAAAGTTTAAGAATTATGCATATTTAAATATATGCACCAGAATGCTATGCCCCTTGTCAAATAGTCTTCAAATCAGTAAAAAATGATAATATTTTACTTACATCTGTTTAGTCCCCGTTAACATTTTGGAATACATCATTTTAATGCACATCTGCAAATTTGTAAACCCATCACTTTGTATGAGACAATGAATGCTTAAAAAGGCAACAAAAGAACATGTACAGTTCTCAGATATGAGTTTCCCTCACATTTGGACAAGGATACAAATTCAACTCTAATAAATTACAGTGCATTGTAAAGATTAAATGCACTCAAGGATTGTGTTCTCTCCTTTCTCCATCCTATCCTACACACAGCTGCCAGACTAATCCTCCAAAAACACCAATTTTCACATGCTGCTTTTCCAAACTAGCTTCCTGGCTTCCGGTTGCCTGAAAAATAGTCTCAAATGCTTTTGTCTGGCATTCAAGGCTCTCTGCGATGTGCATCCTGGCAGACATGTCATTCTGCTCTTTTCTTCCACGATGCACAAGTGGTGTGATCTTGGGCTAGTTTTTAGAGACCTGTCTCCCAGCTGACCCAGCAAAGGCCTCACGCATCCCCTAGACTCACTGGCTCACTCAGTAGTAGTATAGGCCTCCTTCTATGGCCACAAATGCATGCACTGCCATTACAGCTCTAGCCACTTTTATATAGATCAGACCCTCCCTGTCCGGGAGCCCAGTTTGCTGGATTTGTTTGTACACAACGTACATACCCTCAATAATATAACTTCTTATCTCAGATTGCATAGATTTAAGTAACACTTAACCAGAACAGTGTAAAATAAACAAAAACAACACATTCTGTGATGAATCAAATAAAATATATTTTGATCTGCTGTTTTCCCCATTTAAAGATAACATTTTTGATAACTGTCATTATCTATGAAAAGATATGGGATGCCTGGGTGGCTCAGCGGTTGAGCATCTGCCTTTGGCTCAGGGCCTGATCCCAAATCCTGGGATCAAGCCCCACTTCGGGCTCCTTGCATGGAGCCTGCTTCTCCTCCCTCTGCCTGTGTCTCTGCCTCTCTCTCTCTATGTCTCTCATGAATAAATAAATAAAATCTTAAAAAAAAAAAAAAGACACAAGACCAACAGTTTTTTTTTTTGTTGTTTTTTTTTTATTATTTTTTTTTACTGGAGGCTGTAGCCATATTATCATGAATAAAGATCTCAAATTTGCCTGGAAGTTTTAATGGCAAATTCTCAGTTTGAGAGTGGTCACCACCTAGCCAAATGGCTTCCTACATCATCAGTGTCTTTTTTCCACTGTTCCATCCGGTTGTCTTCTCTTCCTGGTTTAAACATTCATTACCCTGGTTCTACAGTGAAAAGGTATTTGCAAATCTTTCCTGACCACAAACTCCTAAAAGTTGAGGACTTCTCACTTTGGTTTCTCCAGGGCTCGACATTTTGTTTGGTGCTTGCGGGGCAATGGGCAGTTCAAAAAGTATGTTAATGCTGTCACTCCATGCATTGATCCATGCTATGGATGAACATTGTAATAAATATCTTTTCATTTCTTGGAACAAAGGCAATACAAACTTCTTCCAATAGATGAAACTCCAAGGATATGATGAAGGCAGGAAGGGAGATGGTATATTATATATATTACACACACACACACACAATTATTCCAGTGAAGTATCACAATCCTGCAAATTCTTACACATTCAGAGTTTAGCAAGCAACCCACACTCACAGTGACAGGCCCATGAGTCAAACCCAGCATGTTTGACTCCATGATCACCAATTCCACTATCCTCACTTATTAGGATTCCGAATTCATGAGTATGTAGGTACTATCAGGAAATGTCAAAAATACCCATTTTAAAGAGTGTTTTAAAACACTGCTTGGGCAGCAATAGAAACAAAAGCAGAATGACATAATGTAACCACAGATAGTTTGTAGGGAAATCCTTTGGGGACTCTGGTGGATAAAAATTTTTAATTAGTTTTTCATAAATTATTAAAAAAAAAAGCTCCCATTCGTAGTGTACACTTTATCGTTCACAAAGCACATGACAACAATAAAGATATGATGGGTTATGGTTGCAATTCATAGAATAGGATGTACAGGGAAATTGAATGAAAGGGAATAATAACTTAGGTCCCTAGTCAATCTTCCATGTAAAAAAATCAAACCAAAAGTACATTTCTGCCACCTACCTTCTATTTGCTATAATAAAGAATGATACAAAGATGATACAAAGATGAATTACAGTTCATGGTTTTGAAAAGCAAACCAGCATTATAGCAATGCTTGAGCTTGTGTTGCTAACAAGATAGCTCAACTTGATATGTGGTTCCTGACAACCAACTTCAGAAATAATTCTGTCTTCATGAGAAGTCAGAAAGAACCACAAACCAAACCTCAAAATAGCTTCTAAGAGAAAATACTCTTAAAAAAAAAAAAATTCCCCTCCTATCAGAAGCAGACTAAAGGGAAGTTTATCCTCCCACTTACAAATTCCCCAGAAAGCTTCAACTAGAAGGTTGTGCTCTCTTCAGACACTAGCAGGACCCTCTTTTCTGAGCTTGTTATTTCTTCCATAGCATATTCCAGAGAATAAGACCCTAATCCAGAGAGTGCTATGGGCCTCAGGACTATTAAGCAGATGGTGAGAGGCACCAAGCAAGACTCTGGTCATCAAGAGGGTATGTAGACATTTGCTGCTTTTCTGCATTTTTCAAAACTGAGTTTTTAGCTGGAGGCTGCTCCTTTATGACCAACTGCTGATACCGTGCGCTAACGGCTATTACACTAACTTACAAACCAATTTCAAACCAATCTGTCTTTCCTTTCTCATATGCCAAGGCAAACATGGATCATTCAAAACCCAGAAGAGAGTGCTATTGAATTCAAATTGCCTGTAACCTTTGTGTAACGGATTTCTGACTGATGGTGAGTTCAGTTAAAATAGATCTGGTTTAAATATATTCTTGGTCAACGATTCCAATCTGTGCTCCCTTAAGGAAGTGGCGCATAAACCTTTTCCAATGCCAGGGAACTGTCAGCTCTGCTTTTTTTTAAGGACCAATTCCGCGTTTTCGAGAGAACCCCAAACTATTTTCCTAGAACGGCTGTCCGGATGTCCATCAGCCGTTCCCTCTTCACTCCCTTTGTGCAGCACCTTGCCCTGTCCGTCCTGTGATCACGGAGGCCAGAGGAAAATCCGGGTGGGAAGCGGTGCCGTGCGCCAGCCCGCGGCAGCACCGTCGGCCCGAGGCTGGGGGAGGCGCTTCGGCTGCAGACCCGGGAGGGCGCCGCGCCCAGGCCTCCGCGGCCACGGGAGCGTCTGGGCCCCGCGCGGCGAGGGGGCAGCTCAGGGCCCGAGGCCCAGCGGGCTTCAGGCAGCCGCTCCCGCGCAGCCCGGCCGGGGCGGGAACCGCGCCTGCTGCGGGCGCCTCGGGGCCCCTCCCCGCGCCCGGCCCCGGCCCCGGCCCCCGCCCCGGCCCCCGCCCCGGCCCGCGCCCCCGCCCCGCCCCGGCCCCCGCCCCCGCCCCGGCCCGCGCCTCGGCTGCCAGCGGGGGAGGCGGCCTCGCCGACGCGGGGCTCCGCTAATTGCCGAGGCAGGAAGTGAGCGCGCGAGGCGGCGGCGGGGAGCCGGGAGGAGGCGGCGGCGGGGAGCCCGGAGCGGGGGCGCGGCGCAGTCTCGGGCGCGTCGGCACCGCGGGGCCCGCCGTCCCCGCCCTCCCGCCCGGGTCCGAGGCCGCCAGCCCCGCCGGGCGCCCGTCAGTCCCTCCCTGCCCCATGGCTTCTCCGGACCACCCTGTGCGCGCAGGTAAAGTGACGCCGCCGGGCCCTCCGCGGGCCGCGGGCTGGCGGGCCTGTCCCGTCCGAGCCCCCCCGCGCCCGCCGGGGCCTCCTGGGACCACCCGGGGGCCACCCGGGGACCACCCGGGGGCTGGGTGGGTCGGCCCGGGGACCGGGAGGGCGGCGGCGCCGGGGCCCCGAGGGCGCACCGCGAGGTTCCCCCCCCCCCCAGCGGCTGCGGGTCCCCGCGGGCGCGCAGGCCCGGCCCCCTGCGCCCCCACGCGCGCCAAGGGCGCTCCCTCCTCGTCCCACGCCGCGGCCGCGCCGCTTTTGTTCTGGACTCGGGATCCCAGCTTGAAACCCGTCTCTCACGTCCCCGGCGGCAGGGAGCGCAAGGAGTGGATTTCGGTGTTTCCTCCCCACTCCCATGCCTCCTCCGGTCTCCTCTTCACTCCTTTTCTTACAGGCTTTTGTCCTGTATACTGACCCTCAGGGCTATTTCATAAAAGCTGGTATCCACGGACCCGAGAGCCTAATCCCCACCCGCGGGATCCCACCTGGAGAGAACGTTTTAACCAAAACGGCCTCTAGTTCTTCCCTTGACTTAAAAGAGTATGTGTACCTGAGGCCACAATCTAGATTTGTCTTTACTCTCTTGGGCTTACGAACCTCCTCAGACTTCATCTTCCAGGATTTCTCTGTCCTTGCTACCCCCCCCCCCCCCCCCCCCCGCCGCAGCCTTGGCCCGGATCCCCGGTGACTGTTGAACACACGAATGAATGAACGATAGATCCCCCGGAGCACACTGGGGCTTTTTCTTGTTTCGCTGAGGTTGGAAAGACTAGGGAGGGACCATACGTACAGATACAGAATTGCGTGTGACGGCTTAGATAAACGTGTGTCCTGTTTTGTTGCTTGGGTTTGGGTAGGGGCAGAGCTTGAGCATTCCATTATTAATCTGTGGCTTGAGCAGTTAGGAGGAGAGAGTATCTGGAGGTGAGTCAGAAGACAGCTAAATTGGCATCCTAGTGTGCTGGGATTGGGAGAGTGTCCCAGAGATTTTATTTTATTTTTTTATTTTTATTTTTTTTATAAATTAATTTTTATTGGTGTTCAATTTACCAACATACAGAATAACACCCAGTGCTCATCCCGTCAAGTGTCCCCCTCCGTGCCCGTCACCCATTCACCCCCACCCCCCGCCCTCCTCCCCTTCCACCACCCCTAGTTCGTTTCCCAGAGTTAGGAGTCTTTATGTTCTGTGTCCCTTTCTGATATCTCCCACACATTTCTTCTCCCTTCCCTTATATTCCCCTTCACTATTATTCATATTCCCCAAATGAGTGAGAACATACACTGTTTGTCCTTCTCCGATTGACTTACTTCACTCAGCATAATACCCTCCAGTTCCATCCACGTTGAAGCAAATGGTGGGTATTTGTCATCTCTAATGGCTGAGTAATATTCCATTGTATACATAAACCACGTCTTCTTTATCCATTCATCTTTCGATTGTCCCAGAGATTTTAAAGAAAGAATCACATTCTAATCCAAGTGGGGAATGGTAAACATCTTATCGATGGGAGATGGAAACTATTAAATTGTCTGGCCAACCTTTCCATCTCCCCCCATATCCATTATTTGGAAAAAAATAGAAAGGGTGGTAAAAGGAGAAATCCTCCCACTCACCTCCACATCCTCTTCCAAGAACCTAATGGATGAGGCGCCAAGAGGTTTTAGGCCTGATTTTACCAACAGTGGTCTCAGATCTCATTCAATGATCATGGTGATCTTGGGGATGTGGGGACCCACTGAATGGGGGCAAGCATAAAATCTGCTTGGGTCCCTAAAAATTAATAGCAGCAGAGAAGATGAGACTGAAGAACTATAGCTTAAGAGTGACACAATGTATAAAAAGCTTTAGGGAGTCATAGTGTGGAGAGGCTACCAGGGCAGCTAGCATGGTCCTAGGTGACCTTATGTAGCACTGCAAGATCTAGATTTCCCATGATGGTGTTCTTGGTTGGCCCCACCCAGTCTAGCCAAAAATAGATGCTCACAACTTGGAACAAAAGGTCTTGGAGATCCCAGCAAGAGAGGCACAATAAGGGGGTGCTGATAGCAGGGTGTCCTTCAGGAGGAATCTGTCTTCTTGACTTTAAGAGAACTCAAATCTGCAGGTGAAATCTTTCTGGCTCCAAAGAGGGAAGAGGCCTCCAAAAGGCGAGGTCCCCTTGTCACTTGTAAAGATGTCTGAATATGTAGAACGTATTCAGACGTCTCAAAGAGGTCCTCATGTCCATTCCCACTCTGGAATTCTATCAATAAGGTGAGGGCTCCTCCATTAAAAAAAAATCTAAAATTCCTTCCCTTTCTCATGGAATTTCTGGAACCCCCAGGACACACCCACCTACCCCTTCCATTGCTGTAACTAAGCCCCAGATGGTACTAATTTGTAGAACCCACTAAAGGCAATTTTTACTTGTACACCCCCGACCAAGTTACCATACTCTCTCCCCTAATTTCCTACACTCACCTCCCACCTCGTGTGTTCACACCTGCACTTGCCTTTTACCAATGGCTTCGCCAAAAGGCGTCCAGAGTGGCCTTTCAAAGACAAATCAGTTCCTGTCATTTGTCCACTTAGAAACCTGCATGGACTATCTAATAAATTCTCAGTCCTTAGAGTTTCCATCCTCAGTTCCTCCCTCTCTACCTACCCCTCCACCTGACTGATGCTCTGTCCCTGTCTCTCTGCACTTTACCCACACTGCCTCCTTCCCCCCCCCCCCCGAGAGCCCTCCTGTTTAAGAGCCTTTGCACAAGTGATTCCCATTGCTTGGAAGGCCTTCTTCGCCCCTTCTCCCACTCCACTTACCTCCTGCTTATTCTTCAGATCTCAGCTCAAAAACCCCACAGTATACATTCCATGTGCCCTGTTCTTTCCTTTCTAGCACCAGCCTCCATTTCTAGCTGGTTGTGTCACTAATGTCTCTCCCCTGTTAGCCTGGAAGCTCTCAGAGTGCACGTCTGTTTAGCTTAGAACACCTGGCACAGCACTCATCATAGTAAGCCCTGGGTAACTATTGCTCACCTCACCAAATGAGTGAAAGAATAAAACTGAACCACATCCATTTCAAACTGTCGGCAGAAAAAGCTTTTCTTGTATTGACACTTTAGAAACTTACTTGTCAAGTTAGACGTGTTCACTGACTTTACCTTGTAAAGTTAAAAAAAAAAAAGACGTATCTCCACGAGCATATGACAAAGGTGTGTATGTACGATTATACCACATTATGAGTTTAATGTAAGAAGATGACATTTTACCCTAAGAAAATTTATAAGGCTGTTGGAATCACATGGAAAATAGTCATGCTGCACATTACAGCACAGCTATCTTACTCTATCTCTGTCACTAATAAAAATCTAACACCAGATGAGTCAGAATTGTCTGTCAGAGAAGAGTCAAATCTGTCTCATGTTCATACAGATGTTAAAGCCTGGAACGAAGACAGAGGCTTTGAAAGCCTGGGTTGAGGTATTGTGATTCATTGCAATGAGCTGCGTGTCCAGGGCCACTAGCATGTGGTCATGTGTCCTGCCTCTGTTCTGGGGTCCCTTGTGTACCTTGTAGCAAGGCCACTGGCTAGGAGTGGCTCAGGACAGAGCTGGGTGGCATCTTCTCTCTCCCCACCCCGCCTAGCCCTCCTCTTGGCTAAGGTGGGTCTCAGGTGGCCACCTGCCCTTCTGGCAAGCCCCAATAGCACTGGGAGCAGAATGCAGGCCTGAAGAGTGAACTGCTTCAAGGAGCACCCTGTTTGACAGTCAGCTATTCTTCAGATGCACCAGAGACGCACAAGCTCCTTCCCTCTCCCCTGCCCTGCCTGTGGGGTTTCTCAGTGCCCACTTCCTTTCTTATATGCCTGTGTTCTAGATTTTTCTCTCTCTCTCCTAGTTATTCCCCTCATCTGAATCTCCTCTTTTGTCCCTGTGTCCCCTTTCTCTCCCAGCTCATCCCCTTCCCTGGACCCTCTTCATTCCATCTCCTCTGTAGGCCTGAGCCCCATTGAATGCTTGGCCACCCTCCAAGGAAGTTACTCTTGGGTGGGCATTTCCTGCAGAATCAGGGAAGAAGAGAAATTGAGCCGTGTGTCAGCACCTTCATGCAGCCTTGCTGCTCTGGGAGCTTTTGGGAATCCTGAATATGGTCAGGACTTGAGGACCTCTTCAGAACCAGGCATGAAGATGGCTATAGGTCAAAATAAAAGCTATTACACCAAACAAACAAACATCATCATCATCATGAATGAAAAATAAATGAACTCTGAAATCCCAAGTCAGAAGACTTGACTTGAATTTTTCACTAGAAAGTCCACAAGCCTCTCTGTCTTGGCTCCTGGTGCCCGGGAAAGGCAGAAAGCTCTGACACACTTCCCTCTTTGTTTGAGGGAACATCCTTAGCAGCCACCTTTGAACTTCACCTGAGAAGCTGTCTCTAGGAACCATTGGCCCTCCTCTGCCATGACTAATGAAGGGAGCTGTCAGGACGTAACAGTGCAGTGGCTGGGCACATCACCAGGGTGTGCGTTGCAAACAGTATGTGATTGTTGCTTCTGGAGGAGCCGTGGGATGTGGTCTGCAGTTCTGACTCCATGGCTGAGATGCGGGTCCTGGGTAAATGAGTACGGATGAGCTTTTGGATTTAGAGTTGATGTTGCAGTGACTGGTGCTTTGGGGGATGTTTGGGTGAATGTATTTTGTACGTGGGAAGGACATGAATTTGGGGGACCAGAGAGTGGACTGTTTTGGACTGAACTGCATTTTCCCCAAAACCTTGTTGCCATTCTAATCTCCAGGACCTCAGAATGTGACCTTATTTGGAACTAGAGCCTTTGCAGATGTAATTGGGTTAAAATGAGGTCATTAGAGTGGGTCCTAATCTCATATAACTGACATCCTTATAAAAAGGGAAAATCTGGACATTGAGATTCCCCCACTGTCAGGTAGGTGGTCAGTGCATGAACTTCTAGAACCCTGAAAGTAGTCGAAAACAAGCACAGGCTGGGCACTAGGTTAGTGGGAGCTCTAGTGGAATTTCAGATGCAGGTGCTATGGAGCACAGCTTCCTATATCATAGTGACTTTAGCCTGAAGATGCTCTTTTGCCTATGGGGCCACTGCTTCTCACCATTCATGGACCTTGAAAGCTGGAAGGACATGTGGAGTCTCTCTGTTCACCCCTGAATATTGCAGATTAGAGGTATGAGGCCCAGAGAAGCAAATGATTGTGCAGCCACCTAGCTTGCTCTCATGCGCAGTCTCTGAGAGCAAGGCTAGGTGCCCTCGCTAAGGGCCATGCTATGTGAGATCACCATGCACTTCTCTCCTGTCTCCTGTCTTTTGAGTACTCTCTGGAAGATGTTCATATAAATTAAACATCATTCTCACTGCCATCAGTTTTGGTCGGTTGCCAGCTAATGGGGGATGGACTGTGCCTGCCATAGTCTCTGATCCAGGAGAGTGGAGGTGGCTCTGGGAAGAAAGCACTGCTGGAGACTGTAGGGCTATTGCTGAGGGCCAGAGGATGGTCCCCATGTGGCCCTGACCTGAACTCACACAGTCCCCCTTCCTGTCTTGGCTCTTCCTGTGCCTCATGTCTCCTCTGATATCAGAACCTTCCCTGGGGGCCCTGCCTGCTGTTCCCTGGGGCCTGTAAAAACACTTCATAATATTGTCAACATGCAGCTCCAAGAGCTCTTAGAAATCCTTTAGGACAACCTCCTACTCCCAGACCAATGTCAAATAACCAGGATTAGCCCCCCTCCAGATGCTCTCTTTGGCACATGACAGTCCAGGCCTTGCAAACAAAGGTAGCTGAAGGTGAAGCACAAGAACCTCTTGGGCAGAGGAAGGTACAGTGTCAGGCAGAGCGTGCCTGGTGCCACGTGCACCTGGGTCTGTGAGTGAACTTGGCGATGATGCACATGGAAGAACTTCCTCCAAGGCCTGCTGTATATCAGATGCTCCAGTGAAGGTGGAAAGAGCCCTGAAAGTGTCTCTACTGCTGGTTCCCAACACATCGCCTTTCATGATTGCCCTGTTGCTTGGCATCTGTGCCTCTGAAAATGAAAAAACCCTACCTTCGTTGTGCCCTTCCCATCATAAGTTCCATTTATAATCAGAGAGTTCAGACCAAAGCAAGAGATGTTGGACCTGCAGGCATGTGTTGTTGTCTCCTGGCTCTTCCTGTTCCCCTCACAGCCCTCTGAGTCTTGCTCAGGTGTGACCCAGAGTGTGGTTAGGTTCTGAGGGGCACGGAGGCTCCTGCAACCCAGGGGGTCCCACCACAGGCCTGACCAGAATGTCCATCACCTGGGACCCCCCAGACTACAGGTTATGGAGGAAGGAGCCTGAGGCAGCAAGCAGTGAAGTCAGTCGTCCAAGGTCACACCTCTGGCCCTGTTCAAGGCTGGGCCACGGCGCTCTGCTGGCATGGCGCAGAAAGCCAAGGCCTTCTGCACCCAAGCCCACCCTGCCTTCCTTTTGACTGTGTTGTTAGTGCCCTCACTGCTGCTTTCCCAGTCACATGCTCCATTTCCTTCCTCTCATGCTAATTCTGTAGGAAACAGAATGAACTTGTCACAGATACAGTGGGTGGTTTAGAAACCCCCTGCCACTCATACCCCAGCTCCCCAAGTCCTGCACAGCCGATGGACCTGAAATTCCATTGTTGGTATCGCTGATATACCACACCCCTGGTGGGTATTATGACCCAGGTACACTTTAGTGGAAATGGAATTGAGACAAGGCTGTGATAGGAGAGGTGGGAGGAAGGCACTTGAGGCAGTCCTACCACCCTCTCCCCAGCCAGGAACCAGAACAAGAAAGATGGAAAGGAAAACTCTCAAAAGCCAAGCTCGGTGCCTCTGGCTGGACATATCTGGAATACACGAACATGTTCTGTTCTTTCTCATCACTTGCCCATGCTGTTCCCTCTACTGAGAATGCTTTTCCCTCCCCGACCACTTCTCCTGGCTAACTTCAGCTCATCTTCCAGGCTCAGCTGTCATTTCCCCTGCAGGCTCTTCCTTCCCCCCCCCCCGCTCTCACCCTCTCCCCTCGGTGCACCCCAGGCTGGGCCTGTGCTCTTCCTCTCCTTTCCACATCACTCTGCACTGCCGTTACTTAACACCGAGTGTGCTCGGTGTTATAATCACCTATTACTCGGGCCACAGAAGTCCTGCAAATTCAGGGTGGAATTAGCAACACTGGTGGTTCTTCCTTTCTTTATAGGGATTGAAATCTATATTAAGTCTGTATTCCACTGGGCTGGGGCCCTAGCCCCCTCCTTGGGGTCACAGAGGAATCTGAGAAGATGACATGGTGCTGGGAGGAGCCGTGGATTAGCATTGATGGTCTCAGGGTCTGAGCCTTAGAAGACCCTTGAGGTCCAGCAGTGTCTGCTTCTGTGCCAGACGCAAATCACGGTGTCTCTGCCAGGGCTGGGAAGTCCCCTTCATGCATCCCCAGCTGTGGCCTAGCTATCTCTGGGGCTCTGCCAGGGACCGGGGCACCGTCCCCACCCGGGCAGATGCAGACATCTGTCCCCCGCTCCATGGGAGGACGCTGACAGAAGGCTGTCTCCATTTGCCCCCATTCCCCTGGGCCACCTCATTTAATCTCTTCAGTGACTAGGCCATCATAAAACAAACATGTAGAGAGATGCTCCCTTCACACGGCTTCTCCTTTGGGCATTGTCAGCACTTCTCAGGCAAAAATATATGTGAAAAACCCAGACACATTCTAGAAGGGAGATATTTAGGGAGAACAAACACAAGCTGATATCTCAATAAATCATTTTGCTATGCTCTTTTGGATCCCCAAAGGCATTTCCTGGGCCTGGTCCATGGTGTATACTTAATTCCACTTAAGTTGGCTTTTGGCTGGTTTAAGGCTTCTGCTTAGGGTTTTTAGGTTGTGCACTGCACAAACCTACAGGACCTCACTCAAACCAATGTGATTTTATTCACATAGTTTTCTGGCAGATGTCTGGTCAATGGTCTTGGAGAAGGGGAGCTTTTTCCTAATTTGAACAAATTCTTAACATCTAGTGGTGGCCTCGACCAAGGCCTATACCTTTTTCTTGTTTTCCTCATTCAATTCCTTAAATGCAACAAGTGGTAAATAAAGAGACAAAAATCTTGGGAAATCAATATCACTTTGTTTGATAATGTGCCTGGGAGGTTGCTGACTTATTATTTATCTGAACCACAGCCAGAAGCTGAATATTTTAAAATGATAAAACCGCATTACAGAAGAGTAAGAAATACAGGAGAAGAAGAAGTCAGGATCATGTCATTCTTGTTCAAAGTTAAATTATGCCAGAGAGTCATGGGAACCATGTGTAATAATTCATGGTTACCTGTAACTCCGAGTGTTTGTGGATCTCTACAAGTAAACTGTTTAAAATATGGTGGTTTTTTTATTTTTATTTTTATTTTATTTTATTTTATTTTTATTTTTTTATAAACACAGAAGTGTTTTTTTTTTAATTTTTATTTATTTATGAGAGAGAGAGAGAGAGAGAGAGAGAGAGAGAAGCAGGCTCCATGCACCGAGAGCCCGATGTGGGATTCGATCCCGGGTCTCCAGGATCGCGCCCTGGGCCAAAGGCAGGCGCCAAACCACTGCGCCACCCAGGGATCCCCTTATTTTTTATTTTAAAGATTTTATTTATTCATGAGAGACACACACAGAGGGAGAGAGAGAGAGAGAGAAAAAGAGAGAGAGAGAGAGAGAGAGAGAGAGAGAGAGAGAGCAGAGGAGGGAGAAGCAGGCTCCATGCAGGACCATGGGACCATGACCTGAGCTGAAGGCAGAGCCTCAACCACTGAGCCACCCAGGCATCCCAAATATGGTATTTTTAAAAATAAAGTTTGTCTTAATCTCTTTCTTGATGCGATCTGACCCCATTCCTTCCTATTTTGTTTCTTATAATGATTGAAGGTAAGTTTTTCTCAAGCCTGACTAGGGTAGCTTGCGTTGATCCAAAGACAATTCAAAGGACACATTTATGCTCTTAAATTAAAGAAAATACTCTCCATTTGTTGTGTGTGTGTGTGTGTGTTTTTTAACAGATCATATGGCAAAGGAGCCAGTGGAAGACACAGACCCCAGCACTTTATCCTTTAACATGGTAAGTTACAAACTTTACATTAATGGTGACAACTCTTGTTACTCCTTTTTTCCCTTTGTTACATTTTTATTGTTCAGTATTTACATAAAGATCAGAAACCCCAAAGGAAGGCTTTCCCAAGATAAATTTCTTTATCATTGTTTTCTGTGATGTAATAAACTTTGGGTTTCTCAGGGCTATTACATTCTGTTCTTGTGATCTTCAATTTTATCAGGTCTTTGTATACAGACGCTCAACCGCTGAGCCACCCAGGCGTCCCTACATGTCTATTTTTAATACTTGTCCATCTACTTGTAACTTCCTCTTCTTCAAAATTCAAAATATTTAATATGAGATGGAAGGACAAAAGAGAACTACTTTGCAATCCCTGGGGGCTGCCTGTTTGCCTGCTGGGCATACACTATTTGATTCACATGAGTTATCCCGTGTAATCCCTGCAACAGCCCTATAAGGTAAGCACTGCCCATTTTACAGTTGAAAAACTGAGACACCTCAGGGGTGGTGAGGTAAGTTGCCCAACCTGGAAGCAGCCCAGGTGCGATTCAAACCCAGCAGCTGGTTTCAGGTCCCTGCCCTGCCTTCATATAACCACTGTGTGGCATGTCTGCTGCTTATGATTTTTACCAAGGATTTCACATATATCATTTTTCGTCCACATATATCTCATTTTCGTCCATGAGATGGTAGGACAGCCACCCCATTCTGCAGATGAAGCGATAAAAGTTAACAGATTCATATAATTCATATAAAAACTCCCAGCCTGGAGAAATCTCACAGCTCTGCTGTGTGGCACCACCTCTTGCGTATAACCACATAAATGCCTCTGGCTACATTACATGTGTTATTATGCATAGAATGTGTGACACATGAATTTTTTTTAAGTGTTCAGAGGAGAGAAGCTGCTCAGTCACAAAAAATTCAGATTAATTTAGTTAGAATAACAAAATCCATACAACAGTATAATTACGCTATATAATTCAATGAAGTCTTGGTGATGCATGAGGCACCTCAGTCTCTCGAGGATCTGAAGTGTTCGTTCTTATGTCTTGAGTTCCCACTTAGCACAGTGCACGAAGTGGCGGTGTGGGGGACAGCGCTGGACACACAGTGGAAATGGATGTGAAAACATCCCCTGTCCCTGCATCCCAGAAAAACAGAGCATGGACTGGCCCTGTGGATATTTCCCACCACTCCCTGGGCTGTGGCCCCGTCCTGGAGCCTCTGGCTGCTACAAGGTGTTACCAGTTTGCCCTTCCCAGTTCCTGACCTGTGCTGCTCGCAGACCCGACTCTCTTCCTGACATCACGCTCTCCTCCCCTCTCACCTTGGGTCACAGCTACCTCTGCTCCTTGCCTCCAGGCAAAGTGATTTTTCCAGCCCTTTCCTGGGTCAGTTTGCTGGGGCTGCCGCAACAAAGGACCACCTAGTGGGTGACCTAAGCGGCCCACCCTTCTGCAGGTGGGAGGTCTGAAACCAAAGTGACCCCAGGGCCATTCTTCCGAAACCTTTGGGGAAGAATCCTTTCTCATCTGTGCTGGGTGGCAACCCCTGGTGGTCCTCGGCTCGTAGCTGCATCCATCTGCTCCCTCTCTGTGTTGGCCCGTGGCTGGGTTCTCCCCCTGGGTCTGTGTCCCTTCTCTTGTATGGAGGCCGATCCTATTGCATTGAGGCTCTGCTCTACTCCATTATGATCTCATCTTCACTAGTCCTAGATCTACGTCTGTAGTGACCCTATTTCCAAATGAGGTCACAGTGCTCGCTTCGGCAGCACATCTAACAAATGAGGTCACATTTGGAGGCACCGGGGGTTAGGAACTCAACAGATCTTTTTGGGAGGATGCAAGTCAGCCCATAACAGTGCAGGTGCTCCAGGGATGAAACGTACACTCCTCAGCGGGGCAGATGCGGTCCTCCATGACCTCCTCTCAGCATCCCTCCCGATAAGCCAGTCGTGTGTAGCCATTTGCTGCTCCAGAAACACCCCACGCCTTCCCACCTTCCTAGGTTACTAGCACTGTTCCGTCTGGTGAGGAAAATGAAAATCTCCTTGCTTCCTCACCTAATGAACTCCTTGTATTTCTTCCTCTTTCCGTTCAGGCTTCTCTGACCTGTGATGCTTTCTTTGCCTTGCCCCAGGGCCTTGAGCAGCTCCCTTCTCCACAGCCCAACCCCTACTTTTTACCACGCTGAGCCAGAATTGTTTGCTTGTGTGAGTTCCTGCAAAACTGTTCAATGTCTTCCCACATGTGTGCTAGGCAGAAAGCAAAGTTTGATGGACCAAACCTCTCAAGAACCCAGAATGGCACCCACTTAAATCTTTTCACCTCACTTCTAGCATCTTCCATGTAATGTACTGGTTCGTCATTTCATATCCCACCCTGTCCCCCTCCAGCCTGCCTCTCTGCTTCTACACCTGTCACTCTTCACAGTACCTGAACTCGCTCCTCTCTGTCCACACCCTGCACTCACTGTGCTCCTTCCTCTTGGTCACCTGAGTTCTTGGGCATTCTCTACACCTAGCTCAAATGTCAGTCTCTCCAGGAAACCTACATTCAGTCCAGCCTGTTGGTTCTTTCTTGCAGACTCTTAGTAGATGCTTAATTAACACTGAGTTAAAATGTGCAGTTGCAAAGATTATAGTTCCTTCTTTTGAAAAACCCTGAGTCTATCTGAGGAAATTAGGCAAGCATGAACTTTAAAAACAGTCTGATAAGTATAGTACAGTTGTGTTTTCCATGCTCTGGGGAACAGACTGGCTAGAAGAATTCAGTCTGAGGGAAAAATTGACTTTAAGTTCTCCATGATTGATTGATTTCTTCTGTGGAAAAGGAATTGGAGGCTTCTAGAGGTTCTGAAACTTCCAAAGAAACTGCAAGGAGGGGAATTTAAAACAAAATCCCTGGTTCCACATCTGTTTCTTTTTCTCCTCTGTCAGAGGAAGACATACATGCACAAGACCTACAGGCAAGTTGGAAGGTGCGACTTTTTTTTTTAAGGCTGGAGGGCATAGACCCAAAAGCCCAGATGGGGAATGGGAGCTGAGCAAGGGTTAGGGGACAGGGTAGGGGGACTGGGCACATTCCCACTCCTCTCATGTAAGTCATCAGAGAATGGCCACACTGTTTAATCAGAAGTTGAAGCTTCTAGAATACCTGCATAGAGGTACCAAGAAAAAGATACACGATGGAAAGCGCTTTGGCTCTTTTGAATTCCCTCCAATGGTATGCCCCCTTCCAGAGCACCGAGGATCTGGGGAAAATTGTACATGGTGAGTCCATGTACAACCAGTCTCTGTAGGCTGGTTGGCTTTTAAATCCTGTCCTAGTCAGCCCAGGACAGAGCTCTGCAGTCGTGAGTTCTGCTCGATACACAAGCTTGGTGACCCAAACGAATGCCGTGGAAACAGACAAGAAATGGGTCTATTCCTATAATTCATGAAAACAACTCCTCAATTTTAAACTACGGGAAATGGGGGGAAATAGCCTTTTAGAAAAGAGAGGAAGTGTGGTTTTTGTGGTCAGAGCTGAGGAAATTTGGAAGGCTTATTCTGTCTCGTGTTCCAACATTAACTTCTTGTCAACCTTGATTTCATTGGTATAGGCTGAGGATAAAAATGAGCAATGGGTCCGGCCTGTTGTAGATCTGCAGCTAGAAACTTGCAAGGTTTTAAACTAAAATTATGACTTTCCTCAAACAAAGATTTCTTTTCACTTTGATCTCGTAATTGAACGATGGTGTTTAAAAATAACTCTCCTCTTTTGTTGGTTTCCACAGCCAGACAAATATCCCATTCAGGATACGGGACTCCCTAAAGGTATGTACAGTTACTATAACTCCATGAACTTTGATTACTTTAACATCTTGAACAAAGCACTAGTCACAGTCATCTCTCGGTATTTAAAGTCATAAAACAGAAACAAGCTGATAATTTACCTTTTGACTTGTTGATTATCTCAGGCATGGATTTTCTTATTAAAATCTATAAGTTATCTTCTTATAAATTATACATTAAATTCCTGTGGTGTTTTTAACATGCATAAAATGAGGATAGCCAGGCCTCTGGGTTGCATGGTTGCACAGAAACCTAACTCAAGCTGATTTTTAAAAGGGAGGAGGGACATGCTGGCTTAAGGTCTTTGAACACTGCTAGGTCCATGCATTTAAACGAGGCTCTCAGATTCAGTCTCTCTGTGTCTTTCGTGGCTCTGTCTTCATCTGTCTGTGTAGGGTCCGTTGTGGGGCAGGCTTTGCCTTCCTGGTGGAAAAGGTGGTCAGAGACACCTCTAGCTTTACACGATGCCCTGTCAAGATGGCAGAGCAAGGGGGAGCCTTTCCCCTAGTACCCATAGCACAATTCAAGGAATGACTGGTAATATGGGTAACTTGGGTCGTTTGGCCATCCATGAGTCAGTTGTTGCCATCAGGTAGATGGAGGACACTGCTCAGGTCTGCATCTTGAGATTGGGTGGGGGAGGGCATGGAGTTAGTTCTGCCCAAACTACAAGAAAGAGGCTTCTGTTAGCAGACAGAGGGACAAAGGATGCTTGTCAGGCCCCAAAGCAAAAAAAAAAAAAAGCCCCCCAAAAACCTATCTTTTGTAATTCACAGGCTAATGTAATGTAGCCCTGGTGTAGATGTGGCTAGGCTTAGCCTTTCATAATTCTTCTGTGGGGCAGTCTGCAAAGCTGTGTCTGTTGCAGAGGCCAAGCTGCTGGGTGCCCTACTGGAGCATTTACCTTGTACTCTGCTGATAACCCAGAGAGGAGGAATGGATGGGCTGGGGAATAGTCAGATCTGACCAGCTTCAGAGATGGCAGAAGTCTCAGCTTCCTGAAGAGGTAGGATTTCCCACCACCCACTAATGTGGGTTTTCCTGGCAGTCCTTATGAGAGGGCAGTCATGGGGTCACCCGACTAGAGAATTGAGAGGGAGCTCCCTGGCAGGGTTCACCTGGGGGTTAAGTCCAGGGTTCAGCCAAGGCTTCCCTCCCTCTGTTCCTGACTCTCCAGACTCTTCTTCTAACACACAGAAATGGTACCACTAGAGTTGCATTCCTTTTGCCTCCTCTGCATGTCCTGGGCATGGAAGTGATGTAGTGAAAAGAAACCAAAGGCCAGGTTTGAGTCCAAATCCTGGCTGTACTCAGGGAGGCTTCTGGAAAGCTCACTCTCCCCTTCCCCTTATTGGTGAATGACTTCTAAGTGTCTGGAACCCTCTAGTCTGTGATTTGATTATCTAGTCAGTGAGAAGGTGGCCAGTGCAAGCCAGGCGACCAGGGACAGATGGGAGGCAGTCTCGAGTGGTGCTCCTTAGACTTCAGTGTGCAGTGAAGATTCCTCAGAGGGTAGTGGGGGAGCTTGTTTAAAATGTAGATTCTGGGTCCCTGGGTCTGGGCCAGGCCCAGGAACCTGTGTGTAAATGCATACCTGAGTGGTTGGGACACAGAGCTCTCTTTAAGAGACTGTCTGAGGCTTCAAGGATTTGGTGTGTCCCCCAGGGAGGCATATAGACAAGAGAGCCAAACTGTAGCCAGACTACCTGCTGGACTCTGAGTGCCCTCCAGAATGGTGGCTTCTTATCTCAGGGTCTCAGTTTCCTGTCTCGTGTAGGAAGGGCAATGTTATCATCCTCCTTCCAGGACACTAGTAAGAATTCAGTGAAATGAGTCCTGACTGGTGCCTGACACAGGAGACCATCAGATGGTAGAGGAAAATCTGGCAAATAAATGTGTAAAATAAGGCTTGAGGATGCTTCCCAGCACTGTGGCAAAAATGTCGCTTCTTGAGATGACCCCTGAGCTGCAGTGACTCTGGAAATGCAATGTAATGGTTTGATCTGTCTAAAGATCTTTTTAAACACCCTTCAAAGTGATTTCCTGTTTTTTTGGGGGAAAAAAAAGACTGGTTGCTTAGCAATGTGATACTACAGTAACTGTATTATTATTGTGTTTCTCCTGTAATCTGAGATTTACAAAACATTAATTAAGATGGTATTGAGTTTACAAGTAGCATGACTGTAAAAACCATCTTTATGAGAAAGGTGACTAAGACTTCTGTCTTTAGTCACTGAGAATAGTATAATTAAACACATAATTTCTTATCTCCAAAGAAGATGTATAAGACATGATGTATAAGACATGATGTAAGGGCACCTGTGTGGCTCAGTTGGTTGAGTGTCTGACTCTTGGTTTCGGCTCAGGTCATGATCTCAGGGTCATGGGATTGAGCTCTGTGTCAGGTCCTGCTTGGCGTGGTCTCTACTTGAGATTCTCTCTCTCTCTGCCCTTCCCTGCACTCACACCCACACACGCATGCTTGCTCTCTCTCTCTCTCAATAATGAATAAACAAATAAAATCTTAAAAAAAAAACTTACTCCAATATTCGCATTCAATAATATCTATGACTTGATACCTGCTAGTATTTTTTTTAAACATGTCAATAGGGCCAATAGTATCATTAAACATTTATGGTAATATTTTCATTATAAATGTTTTTAGGGAAAGAAAACCCATATGAATCAGTGCAGAAACTAATGCATAGAGTTAAGAGTAGTTGTAATCTAATTAAGTCCATACTCAGACTCTAACATTTAAGTGAATTTTAGGGGGTCCTGCTTTATTTAACAGAAGATTTACCATAATTCACTTGAACAATTTCTATATGGTTAAAAAGTCTTCAAAATTTATTTTCTTAAGCAGTTAAGCATATTTCACAAAATCTTTATTATACTTCCAGTATATTCTTACTGTATACATGAGTAGTATAAAATGATTCCTTCATGGTCCAGACTAGAGTGTTTTGGAATTATGTGCTTTCATCATAAATCAACTGTGGAAATCTAAAGTAACCTTAGTGATGAGTGTGTTTTTGAGATGAAACATGTTGTTATTTTCTTATCGAGAACAAATGTGTAGCTTCTGCCTCCCCTGATTTTAGAGATTTCAGGGATTCATTCTGTCAGTCTTCTTTTCTAAGAGCTGTTCTGTGAGATCCTGCAAGCCCTAACCTCAGGACTAATTTAAGAGTGAGGTTTATTTCATTAAAGTTTTTTGAGTATAGTTGAGGTACAATGTTACATCAGTTTCAGGTATATGACATAGTGCAGAACAGTATGGAAGTTCCTTAAAAAATTAAAAATAGAAATACCATATGATCCAGTAATTCCACTACTGGGTATTCACCCAAATAAAACAAAAACACTAATTCAAAAAGATATATGAACTCTTATGCTGACAGGTGCATTATTTGTAACAACCAAGATACACAACCAACCTTAGTAGCCACTGACAGATGAATGAAGATATGTATGTGTTTGTGTAGAGTATTACACAGCCGTTAAAAAGGATGAGATCATGCAGTTTGCAATATGAGTGGGGCTTATTTTAGATCACAGAGCCTCTGATATCTTGTAGAAACTGTTGGTTTGAGTGTTCTGAAGGGACTGTGACTCTTCGCAATTGAGAGAAAATGTGTTTGGAAAAAGAATTCAAATTTTTGAGGGGAAATTACACATAAAATACATCATAAATCAATCAAGATGTTATTTTTTCTCTAGGGTTACTGCTTTTTTACTGTTAAAGTTTTTTTGAGGTGATTTTGAGTTAAAGAGAAGTAGACTAACTCTATTGCTAAGTTTGAAGAATTTGAACTCAGGCATAGATGATATTTGGGGAACCTTTTAGAGCAATTTGTTGCTAAATGTAGAAGTAGTGGTTCAATTTAAATAATGAGAAAAATGCACAAAGATGAAGGAATTTGTTAAAAGAACTCAGAAATAGAAATGTTTGCCTGAAAATTAGCAAGCTAACATGCTGTATTTTATACGATTTCACCCCTCGTAGACTGACAGCATTTTGTTAATAGGCTTCCTTGTTCTAAAGAGGAAACTGAACACCCTTACTACCTGCATAATTTGCTGTGTCCTGGTCCTCTTGCTCATTCCAAGGTTCACTGCCTTCCCCTCAACCTTGCCCAGGACTCCTGTTACAGTCAACTCCCAAATCAACTGTCCTCCCCCAAATTAGGATTTGAATACAAAGGTGACCATCCTCCACAAGTTTTTTCTCTTTTGTGGAGGGCAGGGAGGAGACAGAAAGGGATATGACCACGGGAGGGTTTGGGGTACCACTGCCCAAAAGTAACTACATAAGTTCCAGTTGTCCTCCTATTGAGGAAAAAACCCACGCTTTTACAAAAATGCTGGGTTGACCATTATGACACTAAGCATTCTGAAAATCAATGTGACTAAAATCACAGGCTTATTACTTTTGCCAGAGTGCATTAGAATTCTGTGGATGCCTGTTGGATGTCAGATTTCTGGGTCCCCCACCGAGATTGCACTTACGGAAGTCAGGTGTGGAGCCCGGTAGTCTGCATTGTTAACCAGCAGAGCAGGTGCTTTGGATGTCAGAATACTGAGCAGTCTATCTCGGGGAGCACAGGCCAAGGCAAGATCCCCACTGCTCTTTCGCCTCAAAAGGTATCATGTAGAATCTTTGTGAAAAACCATGCTTTTAGTTTACATTTCTCAGGTAATACTATTAAGGGGAAAAAAAACGTTTTTTAGTTGGAATCATGTAGGAGGCAGTGAATATAGCCTCTTGTTTGAACAAATCCAGCAGCCCGGCACTTAATAGGTGAGTGAATGTTAACGAATATAAAAAGAGATGAATCAATCAATCTTTTATTCAGTTGTAACTGTTGGCTCCTGATAAATGACTCTTTATTTAAAGCTTTATAACTAAAAGTTTACATAAACCTTTCTTTCATAATATTCTTTATTTCCATCAACTTTCAAGTTGAGAGTACAGTACTGAATTCTGTAAAGATTCAAATCTCATAGACCAAAATCAGTTTTTAACACGTTTGTGCTGTCTTCACCACAAGTTCGGGAGCTGCGACATTAACACATATGTCAGACTCCTTAAAAATGGAGGTTTTTACCCCAAAGTTAAATTTCTGAGAGATATTAAACATTTCACATGCATTTTAGTTTCCTTTGACTTTCACTGGCAATCCCCGCTTTGACAACAGAGCTGACGTGGCTTTGATTTGACTTTTAGGAGGCTGAGCTCTCAAGACAAGTATAGTCCCACTCTCTGCCCTCTGAAAGGCTTAACAGTGTGGAATGTGATGTGGTATTAAGCAGAGGGGAATTGGGTTTGGAGTGCCACTTACCCCATTGGGGAGGGAGGGATCCTGCCCTAAGGTGAGGGGACGGCCACACACACCTGACACTGGACAGATGAGAGGGACAGCAGTTCACAAGTCACTTATGCTCATAGCCTAGGGGAAAGAGGACACTGCCAGCCCGCCAGGCTCACATGGGGTTGTCCTCAGGAACAGCATGAACAACCAGGGGCTGTGGTGCTAAGAGTGGTAGTAGCAAGAGGATGGAGTGCCCTGGTTCCCCAGGGAGGCTCATCTTAGTAATTCTTTGGACTGGCAGGGAACTGAAACTCAATACCCTGGGGTAAGTGGGAACTGTGGCTGGTGTTTAGCTAGGGGGTATTATCCACAGAGCACAGTGCAGAGAGCTTGTACCTCTGCCTTTTGAGGCCTTCATGATTTACCAGATGCCATGGCAGCACATAATATTGAGTTTTAATCTAACATCTTATACCACAGTTGACTCCGTGGTACCACGGCATCAATCTAAATCTTAGTGATGATTAAGACTTACAGGGTATAGAAAGGCCTCTCTAAACAACAAAACAGACACTTGACCAGGAGAGAATGGACCATGTGGTGTAGCATTGGAATAGTGAGTGCACGGCCCTAGAAGGCATAAATTTTAGATAGGCATTGTGTATTTTGAAAAGTGAAATAAATGTCTTGGTCACTATTGGTAATGTCTGGAACTCCAAAGGGGATAGATCATGTTCTAACAAGGCCTTATACTATGATCTTACTATATGCAGAGATATCTGTTACTTTGATTTATATTCTGTTCATCTATGAGGCAAAAGATTCCCAGACTTCTTTACCCCAGAGTGAGCAAGTGTTAGGCAATGGTTCAAGAGTTTGTAAAAAAAAAAAAAAAATAAAATAAAATAAAATAAAATAAAATAAAATAAATAAATAAATAAATAAATAAATAAATAAATAAAACTGCTGATGGGACCATTTGTTGGCCAGGGCATCCAGCACTCAGATGACTGCTCAACGTTTGGCCAATCGTGCTGACCCTTGAATCCTGTCTATTATAAGGGACATCCTGAAAGGGCTGGAAAGCACACCTATCCATGAGCTCCATCATGTATGATGGTGGTGGTACCATGCGTAAAGTCTACAAACCCCCACTGCTACTCACTCAGTTGATCTGAAGGGGTCCTCCAGGTAACCCAGGCATCTGAGAAAAGTAACCTCTTCCAGCTCCATGGCGTCTGGCAAGGGACTGAGGATAGTGGAGGCCATCGCCTTCCATGGGTGGGATACACCAGAGGATCCAAGTTTTGCTCCACTCAGTAGCAAGGCCTCAGAAGCCATGTCAAGCTTGTACAGTGCTGCTTCCATGACCCAAGGCATAATGTGTGGCAGGGCATGGAGGCTCACAGGTACAGGGTCAGCAAGCCTCTATTTCCAGAAGAGCCTAGCATGCAGCCAGCAATCGCTGCTTTAATGGGAGATAGAAAGAAGGACCTGGGAGGGCAGTTTCTTGCATCAGAAGCATGTGGACAACTTATAGCTAGCATGGGTGGTCCAGAGACTTCTGGAAGAAAATAAAGAGGTTGTTTAAACCCCTAGAGTGAAGGGGTCTCTGAGAATGCTGGTTGTAGAGTTTTGTTGGAGGGAGCCAAATTTATGGTGGACCAATTTGCAAGTAACCGTAGCAATGAGAGTAATTAAAATATGTAAATAGGGAATATGTTGTGTCCAGTATTCCAGAAGAGCTAAAAGATGTTGTGCTTGTATTAACTTGTAGGTACTGGGAGGGTCCAGTACTCTTTATTGACAGTGTCAGAGGTGGAGCAGCCCTTTGTTTACCAAATGATTCCTAGGAATTTAGCCAAGGTGGCAGGGCCATGTGGGTGGGTGGGGGGAGGAACTGGAGGGGGTGGAGGAGGGCATGTTCCATTCCCTTTCCGTGAGCTCTTTTGTGGATATGTATATGGCTTGGATAAATATGTCTAATGGATGTCCTCAGAGGTGGATGTCCTCCTTGTAATGTTACACCCCTAATCCTGGAGAAGGTTGGGTACAGTTAAGATCTTGCCTGAAAAAAAAAAAAGATCTTGCCTGCAAAGACCATGTGCTGCTAGGACAAGTCTGTTAGGTACCCCATGAGTAGCCTGGTCACCATGTATGGGTGCCTTCAGAGATGAAGGCACATTGCAGCTGAGAGGTTGCTAAAGCAGACGCTGAACAGAACCTATTAGCCACATCTGTAATAGCCAAGGATTTACTAGTGGCTGATGGGATGGAGTCAGGAATTTCAATAATACTGGGCATCGAGTATGGGGCCTTAGTGGATGGGACCACCATGTTAAGGTTGCAGTAATGCTCTGTGAGGTGCCATTCATTTTCTTTCAGGTTTAAGAAAGGCCAGATTTAGCTGTTAAATGGAGAAGCAGCAGATAATCAGTCCTTCACTTATCAGGTCTCATATAATAAGTTTTGATCTTTGAAGGTCCTGATTAATTTACATCAGGCCATAGTAGTTATGTGAACTAAGAGGTCTATGGGACCCCATTTTGTCAAGTCAACTTCTATCTATAAAGATTAAATTTAATATTAATTTATGGGGTCAAAGCAACCATGACCACTGTAGGATGCTCTAGGGCAATGGGTGCTGTGACCATGGGAAATTGAAGCAAAACAGTAAGCTCTCGTGGCCAGGGCGAGGCATGCCTATCCTCTCTCTTACCTTCAGGAGCTCTCCTAAGATTATGTTTGCATTTAGTGGCATCTCCAGGTATAACTGTAATGAGAGTTTGCCAGTTAGTGCATTTCAGCAGATTTTAAAGGTAATTCAGAACCTATGGTGTCAGGCACAGAGATATCTAGCACTTTTTTTTTTTTTTTATTGAGTGCACGTGCTCTCACCAGCCCTTGGTAGCTGGGACTTCAGTGGTGAGCTGTGCTGTCACCACCCTTATAGATGGACTCCTTAAAGCTCAGCTGCCAAACAGCCATGGAACAGGGATATAGACAACAACAATTTCACCTTGAGAACAAGGATATTTTAGATTGGAAGAGAAGACAAACATCGGACAAAGACAACATACTGCTGTGTAGGCCAAAGTGCAAGTCTGCCAGCAACTGGCTGTTCTGTCCAGGCAGCCTTCACTGTGTCAGCAAAGTTAGTTATGACCCGGTGTCTTCCATAGTTGTGGGCCATGCTGTTCATGATGCCAGTTGTTCTGATCACCTCCTGTTCACACCCCCAGATGGGGGAAGGATCCTGCCCTGGGGTTAGGGGGATGGCCACACATACCTGGTACTAACAGATGAGAAGGACAGCAGTTCAGAGTCACTTATGCTCCTGGCCTGGAAGAGGGGGACACTGCCAGCCAGGCAAGGTCTCTGGGGTTGGCCTTGGGAACAGCATGAACAACCAGGGACTGCAGCGGCTAAGGGTGGTAGTAGCAAGAGGATGGAGTGCCCCTGATTCTGCAGAGTATGTGACTGACTCATCTGAGTAATTCTGTGGGCTGGCAGGAAACTGAAACTCAGTACTCAGTGGGTGAGTGCCTGGGTGGCTCAGTGGTTGTGCATCTGCCTTTGGCTCATGTCATGATTCCAGGGTCCTGGATTTGAGTCCTGCATCGGGCTCCCCATAGGGAGCCTGCTTCTCCCTCTGCCTGTGTCTATCTGCCCCCTTCTCTCTTTCTCTCTGTATCTCTCGTCAATAGATAAATAAAATCTTAAAAGAAAATACTCAGGGGTTAGGTGGGAACTGTGACTGGTGCCCTCCCAGGCAGTGGAGGTATAGCTATGGGGCCTCATTCATGGAAGCAGAGAGGACATGAGACCCAAGGCCCTCTTGATTTTACCAGATGTCCAGGCAGCCCCTAATTGAGTCCTAATTACAGGCCTTACGCTGCAGAGCATGTTCTTTATCAAGCCTTGTGTCTTTTTCCCCCCAGCTGAGGACTGTGATCCAATTACTTTGAACTGCCCAACAAATTCTGAGGTGCATCACCAGGTAAGAATCATTTCAGTTATATTTTCACACTTAGGCACTTGATAATCCAACGAGAATTATTTTTAGAAATTATCTTCCAGAGCTTTGAAAATTAAGAAGAGGACTTTTAGGTAGAAGAATAAGTCTGGGAATGATCTTTAAGCATCCCAGTTATATATCACGACACAACTTCTGTTACTTCCAGTAACTGTGATAACTTTAATCCATTCTCCAAAATGAATATTTGTCAGTATGCTAAACACAGTCAATGTCAGCGAATGAAAGAGCAGAGCTACTTTCTTTCAGATGGAGCTGGTATGCTGTGAATGGGAACCTTTTTTTAAGCCACAACAGAACTGGATGGTCTAATAACATTTTTGTAATATTTTCCTTTTTTTTCAGACATCAGAGGTTAAACTTTAACACATTATTCATATTGTCTTTTTCCAAAAAGCAAATCCAGGTATTGTTTTCTGATTGTGAAAAAATGGTTGTTATTTTAAATTTCAGATAGGACAAAAATGTACCCCCCCAAAATTGAGGATTGCCTGTCAATCCACTCTTCACCTTTTGAGGTACCTCTTTCCAGAAGCTTCCTTGGGTCACCGTATGCTTTAGCTACTTCTGGTACCGTCCAGCCCATTTCTTTCTGCTCGCTCAAAGCTCATTAGCAAAATTGCACAATGCTTCACATCTGCTGAACTATATTTAGAGTGTCAAATGTCTCGAAAAGCATGTCTTGCCTCAAGAAAGGCTAGTTTGATCCTGCCCATTCCATAACACCAAGTAACTTTTTAGCAAGACGAACTGAAAGTTCTGTTTAGGCTTGCTTATGAAACGTCAGTCTGTCATAAATCATTAATAGCAATGCTCTTGGATAGTCAAATCACTTTTGCAAAGAAGCAACATTATGCAGTAGTTAATAAAATAGTCAATTTTAATTGTACACAGCTCTCTTGAAAGTTGTCAGAGATGCTGCTTTTAACTTTGGTTTGGGGCTCTTCAGTCACCTGCTGTGAATATCATATTCTTATTTATTACTCCTTAGCATTTTTCTTGGAATTATAATCTAATGATTGACTTTGGCACTGACTAAATTTAAACAACTGCAGTAGGGCAGCCGGGTGGCTCAATGGTTTAGTGCTGCCATCAGCCCAGGTCCTGATCCTGGAGACCCGAGATCAAGTCCCACGTCAGGCTCCCTGCATGGAGCCTGCTTCTCCCTCTGCCTGTGTCTCTGCCTCTCTCTCTCATGGATAAAGAAAATCTTAAAAAATAGTAAAAAATAAACAACTGCAGTAAACCCAAAGTATGAAACTTTCTCTTTTTGCACTTCTTAATTTGTTTAACAAAGTTTTGCTCCTCACATGTTTTGTAACATGATACAGACTCACATGAAGATACAAGAATGCTACATTGTTTGTTTAGCTTGCTTTTAGGGATTTTCCAAGACCAGTTAAGGTTAGGTACAGAATGTACCTTAGGACACTGTGCAGAAATTGTTTATTTTAGTGTCATAGTTCTGGCTATATGAAGCAAAGACTATCCTAAAAGATGACAATACATCTATCAATGAATAGGGGCAACTGAGGAGCTCAGTTAGTTAAGCATCTCTAGTCCCAGGGTCCTGGGGTGGAGTCCCATATCAGGCTCCCTGTTCAGAGGAGAGTCTGCTTCTCCCACTGCCCCTTCCTCCACTCATGTTCTCTCTCTCTCTAATAAATAAATAAATTCTTAAAAAATAAAAAGATCTATCAATGAATAAAAGGAGAAGAAACCTATTCAAGATTTTATTCAGTTCTGTTTAAAAAGATATTGTCTTATATTCCTATGAAAAGTAGGACTGTACATAGCTACTTCAGTTATTTCTTTGCATAATCTATAGGATTTGTTCTCACTGCTAGGTGTCCAGAAGGATTCTTTAAAACTAACCTGGCAGTTAGAAGAAAGAAAATTCACTAGGGGAGCAACATTCAAACAAACAAACAAACAAACAAACAAACAACAACCCCACAGTCCATTTTCTAGAGTCTGACATTAAAAGCAAGCTGAAAATATGTTCTTCAAAATATGTAACATTTGGTGTGTTAAGGATTTTTATCATTTTAGAACTAATGTCCACTTCTTTGAATGATGCAGAGGAAAACATTGCAGCCTCCTGGTGTGCAAAGTCAAAGTCTGACACCTCGGACAAATTTCATAAAGAATCCTTTACTTTTAGGAGCTTAACACCCATACTCCATCTACTAGAACCTGTCCTGCTTCTACAATTTATTACAAGTGGCATTTGTTGAGCATATGCTCTCAGACGAGATCTGGACTGGGTGTTATTGGACGTAAGAAAAAGCAGGAGGGAGGGACAGGGAGGAGAGAAAAACCCCACAGAGTTTACAGACTTGCTGGCGAAGCAATGCACACAACATGAGACTCTAGATGTGGGGATGATTCTCAAGGCTTAAACATATCTATAGAACTTGAGACACTTGGGATCCCTGGGTGGCGCAGCGGTTTAGTGCCTGTCTTTGGCCCAGGGCGCGATCCTGGAGACCCAGGATCGAATCCCACGTCGGGCTCCCGGTGCATGGAGCCTGCTTCTCCCTCTGCCTATGTCTCTGCCTCTCTCTCTCTCTCATTCTGTGTGACTATCATAAATAAATAAAAATTAAAGAAAAAAAAAAGAAATACTTTAAAAAAAAAAAAAAGAACTTGAGACACTTGGGTATCTCAGTTGTTTCAGCATCCGACTCTTGATTTTAGCTGAGGTCTTGATCTGAAGGTTTTGAGTTCAATCCCCACATTGGGCTCCATGCTGGGCGTGGAGCTTACTTAGAAAAAAAAAAATATATATATATATATATATATAGAACTTCATGTTCAAGAAAACACTTTCCAGAATGTTTATCCAACAATTAAGTTTCAACTACATGAACTACAGGCACAAACATATGGCAAATGAGACTAAAAATTTGTTCCAATTTGTAGCCAACAATCTGTGCCAAGAGGAAACCAAAGTAATAAGAAAAATAATAAATATCAGGTTACTAACTTGGAGTTAGAGGCTATAGAAAGAATGACATTTTCCTCTATGTTGTTTATTTGGTTTTACCAAACCAAAGGTATTTTATCTTTTAAGTTTTAGAAACCACATGAAAGTACTGGCTCATTTAGTTGTGACTAAAGAATCATACTAATGTAAGGTGTTAATAATAAAGGAAATGGAGTCTAGGGTATATAAGAACTCTCTATAACATCTACTCAAGATAACTGTAATTCTGAAACTATTCTAAAATAAAAATGTATTTTTTAAAGGATGTATTTTAGAGGAGGAGAGCACACACAAGCAGGGGGAGGGACAGAGGGAGGTGGGGAGAATCTCAAGCAGCTCTCCATGCTGAGTGCAGACCCTGACATGGGGCTCGATCTCATGACCCCAAGTTCATGATTGAGCTGAAACTGAAGAGTCCAATGCTCAATTGAGCCACCCAGGCGCCCCAAAAATAAAAATGTATTTTAAAAAACACACTAAGTAAAATTTAGAATCTAAAAAAATTAAAAACCTCATTCACAAGTCCACTACTCTAGTATAACCATTTTTTTTTGTCATTTGGATGTATTCCCTCATACATTTTTCTTCACATGAAAAATTATAAAAATTGTTTGTAAATATATCTTGCTTTTGTCATGTAATGTTATCTCACAGATACCAAGTTTGCAACATGGTTGCACCATCAGTTTGATTGTTCGCTGGTATTACCGTCCCTGACATGGAAATTGATTCTGGGATGCATGTCCGCGGGTAGGGTGGTGATAGCAGCCCTGCTACGAGCAGTGGTACATGTCAGTGCTCTGAGAAGAGAGCCACTCACAAATACTTTGCCTGGAGCTGAAGTATTAGGAGATTCTAGGTAATAAAACTGAGGAATACATTGGAGCCAGGGCCCCAGACACCTGAATGCCAGACACCAGGTGGAGGGAAGGTATTGGGGATTGTAAGTGATGGCCACATGACCATACTGGGGAGCCCAGGGGGACGGCAGAGGGGATGAGGCTAAATTTCAAGCCTGTAGCTGGGAGCTGTTCCTACTAAGACTATAAAGAGAGAATTCAGGAAGAAGGTAAGATTCATGTGTTGCTGGGGTTATGTTCTGTTTGTGTGTGGGCTGTGAAGAAAGAGATGAAGGTTTGTAGAAGTTGGGGTATGTGAGATTTGCGGCAATGCCCAGTGAGTACCAGAAAACACAGCTCTAGGTACTGGCTTAGGACTCTCACAGCAGGAGGTTACACCTGGGTGACTCAGAGGTTGAGTGCCTGCCTTTGGCTCAGGGCGGGATCCCACAGTCCCAGGTCAAGTCCCACGTCGGGCTCCCTGCATGGAGCCTGCTTCTCCCTCTGCCTGTGTCTCTGACTCTTTCTGTGTGTCTTTTCTGAATAAATAAATAAAATATTTTATTTATTTATTTTTTTATAAAGGAGGTTACAGCTGAAGCCTCAGGAGTGAATGTGACTGCCAAGGAGAGAGGGGAGAGAGGAGCCAAGGGTAGAAGCTTAAGGAACACCTCATTCTAGAGGCCAGAGGAAGAAAAGGAGTTTAGAAGCAGAAATTGGTCGAGACAGAAATGTAATTGCAAGTCTTAAAGAGTGAGTGGGTGATAAGAAAGTCTGCTTCCTTAAGGGAGCAAGGAAAAGTATTCAATTCTTGTTTGAAAGTGTTAGAAAATACAGGAAAAAAGCTGCTTTTTTCCAGGATGGGAAGTAGCAGATCTTAAAAGATAAAGTATTACTAGGAGTGGAGAGATTCAAAACAGGAAAAGAAGAAGAAGAAGTGTAATATTAGTGGGGTTTGTTTTCCTTTTGGAATTAATGTTCCTAGCAAATATTGTTTGGTAATGTGCCCAAAAATGTTCTGGGGCAGGGGAGCACCTGGGTGGCTCAGTTGGTTAAGTGACTGTCTCTTGATCTCAGCTCAGGTCTTGATCTTGGGGTCATGAGTTCAAGTCCCCACATTGGGCTTCACACTGAGT